CGCCTATAGTTCCGGCTACTTGGAAGGCTGAGGTGGAAGGATCACTGGAGCCCAGCAGGTCGAGGTTGCGGTGGCTGGGAGCTTGCCACTGCACTCCGGTTTGGGCGACACAGTGAGACTTCAACTCAAAAAAAAAAGATTTCTCTGTAGTATGCAATACTGTTCAATAACATTTTATCCACAGTAGAACTTCTTTCAAAATTGGAAATGATCATTTCAAACCCAGCTGTTACTTTATGAACTGAGTTTATGTAATATTCTAAATCCTTTGTCGTTATTTCAAAGTGTTAAAAATCATATTTACCAGGAGGTGATTCCATCACAAGAAACCACTTTCTTTGTTCATCCATAAGACTCAAGTTCTTCATTAAAGTTTTACTAAGAGATTGCAGCAATTGAATCACTTCTTCTCATTCTAGTTCTCTTGCTATGCCCACCACATCTGCAGTTACTTCCACCATTGAAGCCTTGAATTTCTCAAAGTCGTCCACGAGGGCCAGAATCAACTGCATCCAAATAATGTTGATATTTTAACCTCCTTCCATGAATCACAGATGTTCTTAACAGCATCAAAATGGTGAATTATTTCCAGAATGTTTTCAATTTATTTTGCCCAGATCCACCAGAAAAATCACTATCTATGGCATCTATAGCTTTATAAATTGTATTTCTTTTTATTTTATTTTTTTTTTAGTCTGAGTCTCACTTCATTGCCCAGGCTGGAGTATAGTGGCACACTCACAGTCACCCCAGCATCAACCTGCTGGGCTTAGGTAATCCTTCCGCCACAGCCTTCCAAGTAGCCGGAACTACAGGCGCATTCTACCACATTTGGCTACTTTTTTTGATATATTGTAGAAACGATGTCTCATCAAGTTGCCCAGGCTGGTCTCAAACCCGTGGGCTCAGGTAATCCTCTTGCCTTGGTCTCCCAAAGTGCTGGGATTACAAGCGTAAGCCACCATGCCTGGCCTCAAAATGTATTTCTTAAATTATAAGACTTGAAAATTGAAATTACTCCTTGATCCATGGGCTGCAGAATAAATGTTATGTTAGCAGGTATAAAAGCAACCTCCTTGTACATCTTCATCAGAGCTTTCAGTGACTAGGTACATTGTTAATGTTCAGTAATATTTTGAAATGAATCTTTTCTTCTGAGTAGGTCTCAATAGTAGCTTAAAATATTCAATAAATCTTGCTATAGGCTGGGTGCAGTGGCTCATGCCTGTAAACTCAGCACTTGGAAAGGTGGAGGCAAGAGGAATGCCTGAGCCCAGGGGTTCAAGACTAGCCCAAGCAACCTGGCAAGACCTTGTCCCTACAATAAATAAAAAAATTAGGCCAGGCCCGGTGGCTCAGCCTGTAATCCCAGCACTTTGGAAGGCTGAGGCAAGTGGATTGCCTGAGCCCACAGGTTTGAGACCTGCCCAGGCAACATTGCAAGACCTCGTCTCTACAATAAATCAAAAACTAGCTGGGCATGGTAGCTCACACCTGTAGTTCTGGCTACTTGGAAGGCTGAGGTGGAAGGATCGCCGGAGCCCAGAAGGTCGAGGCTGCAGTGGCCGGGAGCGTGCCACTGCACTCCAGTCTTGGCGACAGAGTGAGACTCCAACTCAAAAAAAAAAAAATTAGCTGGACGTGGTGGCACACACCTGTAGTTCCAGCTACTTGAAAGGCAGAGGCAGGATTGCCTGAGCCCAGCAGGCTGAGGCTGCAGTGGCCATGATAGTGCCACTGCACTCCAGCCTGGGTAATGGAGTAAGACGCTAACTAAAAAAAAAAAAATCCTTGCCATAAACAGATGTGCTGTCCATCAGGCTTTCTGTTTCATCTCTAGAGTAAGACAGAATATATTTAGCATAATTCTTAAGGGCCCCAGGATTTTCAAAATGCTAAATGAGTACTGGCTTCAACTTAAAGTCACCAGCTGCATTAGGCCCTACAAGAGGGTCAGCCTGTCTTTGAAGCCAGATATTGACTTTTCCTCTTTAGCTATGGAAGTTCTAGATGACATCTTCTTCTAAGAGAAAGCTGTTTCATCAACAGGGAAAATCTGTTGCTTATTGTAGCCACTTTCATCAATGATCTTAGCTAGATTTTCTGGATAACTTGTTGCAGCTTCTCCATCAGCACTTGCTGCTTTACCTTGCCCTTTTATGTGATGGAGATGGCTTCTTTCCCTTAACCTCATGAACCGACCTCTGCTAGCTTCCAACTTTTCTTCTGCAGTTTTTTCACTTCTCTCAGTCTTCATAGAATTGAAGAAGTTAGGACCTTGCTCTGGGTGAGGCTTTGGCTTAAGGGAATATTGTGGTTGGTTTGATCTTCTATCCAGATCACAAAAACTTTTCTCTATATCAGCAATAAATCTGTTTCACTTTCTTATCATTCATGCATTCACTGGAGTAGCACGTGTAATTTTTCCCAAGAACTTTTCCTTTGCATTCATAAGTTAGCTAACTGGCACAAGAGGCCTTGCTTTTTGGCTGTTTTGGCTTCTGACGTCCCTTTCTCACTATGTTAAATCATTTCCAGCTTTTGATTTAAAGTGAGAGACATATGAATCTTCTTTTCCTTTAAACATTTAGAGGCCATTGTAGGGTTATTAACTGGCCTAATTTCAGGGAGGCACAAGGAGAGGGAAAGAGATGGGGAATGACTGGTTGGTGGAACAATTAGAAAACACACAACATTTATCAATTGTTTCACTGTCTTATATGGGTGTAGTTCATGGCATCCCAAAATAATAATAGTAGCTTCAAAGATCACAATAACAGATATAATAATAATGAAGGAGTTCGGTGGCTCAAGCCTGTAAACCCAGCACTTTGGAAGGTCGAGGTGAGGGGATTGCTTGAGCCCATGGATTCGAGAATAGCCTGGGCAACTTGGTGAGACCTCATCTCTACATTAAGTCAGAAAATTAGCTGGGCATTGTAGTGCGTGCCTGTAGTTCCAGCTACTTGGAAGTCTGAGGCAGAAGGATCGCCTGAGCCCAGAAGGACGACACTGGGGTGGCTATGAGCGTGCCACTGCACACCAGCCTGGACAACGGAGTGAGACTCCTACTCAAAAAATAATAATAATAATGAAGAAGTTTAACATATTGTGAGAACTATCAAAATGTGACAGAGACACGAAGTGAGAACATACTTTTGGAAAAATGGCACACAGTGACTTGCTTGATGCAAGGTTGCCACAAACCTTCAATTTGTAAAAAATGCAGTATCTGTGATGCGCAATAAAATGAGATGGGCCTGCACCAAGATCACAGAAGAGCACAGTGCTTGATGGGATTAATGGGGTGGAGGTAGTAACAAAATGGGCACCTGAAGAGAGTAGAGGAATGCTTAGTACAAAATAAAATGACAGTTAACAAGATAATTAAATAGGTACTCAGAACTGCAGTTGCTGAGGATTAATTTTAACTGGCACAATTCTGTTATCAAGATTTCATGCCAGCATTTAGACTTCAAATATAAATTAATGCTTTTCTGGGTTTATCCTTTAATAGAATGAGAAAACTACTACTGCAAGAAGCAACCCAAAAATCCCAATAGATCAGTTTAACTGCTCTTTTTTCTTATTCAGAGACAAGATCTATGTGGCCCAGGCCGGACTCAAGCAATCCTCCTGCATGGCTGGAACTATAGGCACACCCTCACGCCTAGCATGAACTTCTCTCTTAACAGAGTTAAACAACACAGTAGAATTAAGCTGCCTCCAGAAGTTGACCTATTAATGTGGTGGAAAAGTGTGAGAAAGTGCTCTAGAAAAAGATTTCTTTATTATGTTTTTGGAAGCTAAATTTTAACCAGTCTCACTTGCCACTTAGGGTCACCTAGTAGAGTGGGTAAGAGTGACCTTTCACCCTTACTCTGAGTTCTACCTTGGTTGCTACTGTTTGAGCAGAATAAGAGATGTTGCCTTAGCTTTTTGACAATGCCTCATGAAAGACCGAAACACCATCCCTTTGAGCCCCATTTGAAAACCTGAGTAGGACAGGCCAAGTGAGACATGTTTTATGCCCTCCCACTCCAAGTGGTTCCACTCTCACCCAGTTCTTATTACTCCCCGAACCTCTTGGAATGGCTTCCTCCAAAAATCACAATAATCTACCATCTTGAATCTAAAGAACCGAATTCTAGTTCTGTCACTAATGAGGCAAGGAATCTCATAACTCATCTACAAAATAAGAGATGAGATAGTGTTCCAAGATCCTTCTTAATATTCTTATTACTCCGTAAGTGTCTCCTTTTACCTGACTAAAGGATCAAAGCATAAGGCCATGACAGATGGGTTTTCCTGTGAACCTCTAAGCACAAGAGACTAAGGAAACCAAGAAGAAGAAACAAGATCCTCAACTCATTTCAGACTCTCTGCTTAGTTAAGGCTGGCTGGAGAAGGAGGTTGAGACTATAAGAAAACCTAATTGCTGCCATGAAATCCAATCACTCTCCAAAGTGACAAGAACCCAGTGGAGTAAAAGGTAAAGGAGGAGCGGGGAGAAATCGAGGTCCTGGAGCTCTCCTGGGCCCCTTCCATCACCTCCCACATGAGCTGGATTCTGGTACCAGGACCTTGAATCCTCTACACATCAGCATCCTGCTCCCAATACAACTGAACTGGGCAGGCCTGGTGTCCAATCTAAAATTCCACCTTTCATGGATGAGGGCCTGTGTTGGAGATAAGTTCAAAATAATCCTAAAATAAACTCAAGTAAACCATCAAACCATCTGTTTATGGCGGGACATAAATATATCAAATTGGTCATTCTTGTGACAAAGAGGTCTTTTTAGGTGAGATCTGTGACCATCTCAAGAGATAAAATCCAGGCTGCAACCGCTGTTAAAAGTAGTTTTGGCCTAGTATTCCAAAGGCACTATCTCTTTTTTAACAAGACATACCCCCTTGCTGCACTCTTGGGAAAAACAAACAAACAGATGGCAGATAAGAAAGAGCAATAGCTTGTTCAACTTGGTACTAATGCTTCTTACCCACATATTCTGAGAGGAAGACGACAAAGAATGGAGTGACCAGGTCATTAATTCCCTGGACATACCCACTGGCAGGGTGTCGGATGGCCCAAATAAATAGAATTCTTTCAAAGATCTAGGAAAATGAGAAAGAAAGACACGAGTGTTAAATCAGGGGATACACTCCCTCCTTCCATTTACCTACTTCACAATTTATCTCAGAGTTGGTATAGAATTTTTAGGAAAATTTCAAAGTACTGTGGAACAAAGGAAGTCTAAAATACAAATGTTTCTAACATACCAGTTGGGGTAGATACTTCTTGCTCTTTATGTACTTATTTATTTATTTATTTATTTTAGTATCTGGTCACTGTGATATAAAATTAGGGCAAGGAAAGGACAGCAACACAAATGACTTAGAAAAAGCTTTGAATGGATGTCATCAACTCAAACCACCCCATTCTCATTTGTAGGTGCTACTTCGCTATTTCCAAGAATAAGATAACAGAACATCCTAGTTCTGATACCTTTTTCAAAATCTTTTTTGGCCATTACAGGATTTAGAAAGGAAATACCTTCTCTACCACTGCCACTCTCCCCCTGCTGAGAAGGAAAGAAATCTAGATTTAGTTCTAACCCACCTCAACTAGGAACAAGTGACAGACTATACATGCAGAAGGTCACTTCATGTATCAGGACGCAATTCAGACATTTGCTGGGAACAGGGAGTCAAATGAAATCCTAGGGACTCCTACAGCTGGGAATTTGGAAACAGAGAAATCAGCCAGGACCTCCATGGGAAGTCTCTGAGTTAAGCATATTTGCCATAAGAAACCAGGGACCTAGACTGAGGGACAAAGGATAGATCTTTATGGTCCCTTTACAGAGTCCTGCCCTGTCCCACTCAACTCTGACCCCTCTTGCTTTCACTGGACCCTCAGAGCCTCTCTCATCTTCTCTCAGTCTGAGGATCCCACTTCCTGACTTCATCCTGGTGGCCACACGCCTGGGTCTGACACACTGTTGATACTGGCTTTGACTGGGCTGCCTCATGTCTCTGTGAACCACACTGGAGAGATGGTAGAGGGGAGGGTGAGGACATGCAGGTAGGCAGATTAGAGGGCCTCCTCTCTAGCACATGGACTCTGCAGATTCCCAGTCAGTCAGCTCTGGATCAGCCCAAGCAGGTGTGAGGGAGAAAAACTTCCCAGGGAGACCAGCAAAAAGAAAATAGTCATATGGTTTTTGGAGGTGGTTATCTAGTGTAGGAGAGACACAAAGAATCTAGAGACACAATAAAGGATGGTTCCCAGGTCCCCATCATAGATAGTTGTGTCTGCTGTCCAGCTGACAGAGAGAGCTGAGAAACACTTCCACTGTCAACACCTGTGCTCTGCCAGGCATGAGGACAAAGACTTGCCTGGAAGTGAGCTGGTCTCTCTGCCTCCACTAGACTCACTCACTCGCTCTCTGTGGTCGAGGGAAGGGCGTGGCACCCTCACTCATATTAGTCCCAGCACTCTAATGGGACTAATACTCTTACACTCTTTCCTCTCTGTTGCTAAATGACCCCTCCCTCCCCTGAAAATATAGCCCAAGATGGAACCATCATGTGCGAGAAGAGCTCAGGAATTCCCTGACTGACTCTGTTTCCTTGCACCTCTTGTGGCCTGGGTATGTCAGGACACCTCTGTTAAAAAGCCCCTCCAGGTCAGTCTTTCTAAAAGACTTACAAGGGCTTCTACTCCTACTATCAGCCCCTTGTGAGTACACAAGTCCTTGGTGCCTGGCTTAACAATGGCCAAGTAATTGGACGCTTTCTGTTCAGAACCAGGAGACCTGTGATCATCCTTCTCTAGCAAGAATGGGCAATGCAGACACACTCACACTGTACAAGTAGAGGTGCCAAGGAGCTGGAGCCTGAAGAGCACCTCACCTGGTTATGTGGGGAGACTATGGAATCTACACTATAGAAAAAGTCTGGACAATCCTGCCTGATAGAGAGGAGTGTAACACCTGAAGGCTTGCCTATGGCTCTTCTGCTAGTGTGGGTAATTCTGACTTACTACAGTCAATTCTCAAGTACCTGTCAGGTTTGCAAAGCAAACCTTTTCATTTTCAGTATTATTTAGTTCTTTGCTCCTTGGCTGGCATTTTTTACTCTAAGATGACTATCACCTGCTAGATGAAAAGATGATTAAAAAATTGGAAATAATAAAGTTTGAGATTCCATGTTTGTATTCAGGTTCCACTACCAGGAGAATCCTTTAAACAAACTACTTTCCCCGTCTCTAAATTTAAAGCATGAGCAGGTAAAAGATAAGTATCTGAGCATCTCCAAGTTAAAGAGATGCATAAGAGAGTTGAGTCCTGGGAAACTGAATGAGAGGAAACTGAATGAAGGGATACTGAATGGGTTTTAGGGAGAATGAAGGGATCCTGAGGGGTCACCCTCAAAACCTTCTTTATGCTATTTGGTGAGTCATGAGGGATCCCACCAATAGAGACATCTATCTTTAAACAGAATTATGAATATAACCCAAAGCGAAGTAGAAATTATGCTGAGTATTTTTACCACCATCCCTCTCCATTATGAGAACTGAAAGTTCAATTCAAAGAGCACTAACACTCAGTGTTCTCACTACTGTAAAGCTGAAAAGGAAATCCCTAATCTCAAGGAGTTTATAGTTACTGCTTAGGTCAAAAGACAATAGTCCCACTGAGACCTTCCATGTGCTTTATTAATTTCTGAGGTCTCAAAATATAACTACTAATTCTACTTCAGAATACATATCCAAAAGAATTTAAAACAAGAACCCAAACAGATATTTGCACACCAATGTCCAAAGCAGCATTATTCACCATTGCCAAAGGTAAAAGCAACCCATGTGTCCATTGACAGATGAATGGATCAACAGTATGTGTCACATACATGCAATGGAATATTATTCAGTCTTTAAAAAGGAAGGAAATTCTGGCACAAGCTACAACAGGGATGAACCTTGAGAACACTATGCTCAGTGAAATTAGCCAGTCACAAAAGGGCACATGTTATATGATTATACTTATTTGAGGTATCCAGAGTAGTCAAATTTATAGAAGCAAATAGAATGGAGGCTGCTGGGAAAGGGAATTAATATTTAATGGGTACAGAGCTTCAGTTTGGGAAGATAAAAAAACGTTGTGGAAGTGGACGGTTGTGACAGTTGCACAACAGTGTGAATGTACTAACTGTACACACAAAAAATGTAAATTTCATATTATGTATATTTTAACACACACACACACACACACACACTCACTCACTCACTTACTCCTTTCAGCTTGATAAAACAGAGCAAACACAGGAAGAGGAATTCTAAGATGTAGGTCTTCATTCTGTCACCAGGTAGCCTCAAGGCTCTGGGCAAGTTTCTTAACCTCTCATATGCTACTTAGCTCACAAGTGTGTTTGAAGATCAAGTGAGAATGCAAGAGAATGTGCTCCGACACAACCAAAGTTCCATATGTGAACACAAGTTTCTGTGACGATTATCTGTATACCTGTATACAGGTGCCACAGAGCTACAGGAAAAAGGCTAGAAGCTTGAATAATTCCCTCACCTCCTGTACGAGTGGTTGCTGGAACAATGGAATGAGAGGATTCGTCCTTGGAATGTCAATGTGAATCTGAAAAAGAGAAGCCATGTCCAAAAACACAAATACCAGTTTGTTCTTTTGATGAGTTTTCTTTAAAAATGGGAAGTAAAGGGGTAAGAGTTTATCTTATGCTTTAGCTTCAGAAAGAACTGACACAGAAAAAGTTTAAATCTACCAGCCCACATGGAGCATGTCAGCAAAAACTTATTAAACAGTGAGGAAGCCTCCTATAATAAACCATTTACGTCAAATTGCTATAGGCTTCACAACCTAAGAATCAACTGCTTTTCCTATTGCTCTGGAGTCTGTTTCACACTGGGCTGTAACAGGTATGATTCAAGTGTGTACCCCTCTTTCAGAATCTTACTCATTAACTGTCCTCAAGAACTAAAAGAGCTCTGACAGCTGCAAAAACGTGCCCTAACAGGGAATCAGAAAATAACTTGCTTATGAAGCCATGCTGTGTAAGAAGTGGGGAAGGACCAGGCGGAGTTGGCCTTCGGTAACTGGAGCTGAAAGTTCTGATTTCTGTGACCAACGAGGTCACTACAGTTGGTTTCAGCTCGGGGACATCCCATTGCCCAGTCTATCCAAAAGACTATGTCAGCAACAGCAGAGGCTGCCTAATTTCTGGGGCTTGTTGTAGATCACTGCTCACCTCTACCTTCCAGCTTCTGCAAGCACTGGTCTACTCTTCTCTACTCTCTACATGGGATGCTGCGAGTGGACCTTTCTGCAGGCTGTGAGGACCATGATGGGCGATGATGGAAGATGCCCTGCCATGACTACTGATAGCTATGCTTCCTGCAGACAGACACAGGTGCTGAATTGGCACTGCAGTTGCAGGAGAACACATAGTGCCATAGTCCAGAGGGCCCAGGCCACTCCTGAGCAGGCTTGTCTTTCCTCTTGTGTCCCTTAGCCCTAAAAGTCACAGAGCAGTCTGTGGACCAACAGCATTGGCATTATCAGGGAGTGTGTCAGAAGGGCAGGTCCAACCTCAGACCTACAGAATTAGAATCTGCATTTTCTCATAATCCATAAGTGGGATCTTATCAAGATTTCAGATGGTTTGTATGTGCACTAAAGCTTGAGAAACACTGCCACTGACTAGTTCCAAAAAGGTCTATTTACACTGGCTAAAATCAGAGCTGCTGAATAGAAAGAGGGGAAGCAGTTTTAAGAATAAACTTAATTCCTCACCAGAACACTATAATTGAACACTTGGAAAACCTGTAGCCCACAGCACCACTAGGAGACACACCTAAAGAGTATGACTAAAAAGCAAAGAAGCAGCAGATGATTACTGTACCTGTCTGTAGGTATCCTGGTGATGCTCCTCATTTCGAGAGTCATAATACTGCTCAATGAAGCCAAAATATTCCTCCCGCTTCCGCTGCAGGGTCAACTTCCTCCTCTCGGTGTTTGCTGGGAGATAGCCCTATAGACAAGACTGCCGGTTAGATGGGGACAGACATTGGTTGTGTGAATCCATAATTTTTATTTTAGCCTGGGCAGCAACTTGGAAACTAGCAAAGGAATGAAAGGAAACTGCCAAGAGGACAAAGGCAAATCCCTTTCTGGTTCTGGCTACCCTGTGTCTGCCCTCTCCTTAATCGGTGAGGTCCACATGGAGGCAAATGAAGTGAGGTCAACTTTCCCAGGGTTATTCACTCCCTGGTCCTGCATGTGCTGGAGCCTGTGCTGCTGGTGAGCACACTACTGGAGCTGGCACAGCAGAGCAGTGAATGTAGGTCAGTAGGAGGGAACTAGACCCCAGCATGGCCTCCGAGGGCTGTGTGTGTGCGGGATATACTTCTGAAAATCATAGGGATACCCAACCTCTATGGCATACCTCAGTGGCGGGCCATGTAAGTTGGTACCAGTTACACATACTTTTCCAGTGTAATGTCCAGAATTACCAACTTAGGAAGCTCATGGAATCTGTGACAGAGTAACTATGACAACCAGATGGAACTTCTGGCAGCAGCTCCCCTTCCAGTCAAAGCTCCAGGACAACTTTCATTCTTATCCCTCATCTTGATCCACTCTCATCCTTAGATCTTCTGTTCCCCTTCCGTTCTCACCAAACCTACTCTGCATGGCATTCAAATGTATTACAAGTGGCAGGGGCAATGATCACATGATTGCAAGAGTAGGGGTGGCAGAGCAGCCAGGAGAGAGACTTTTCCTTCCCAAGATATCCATGTCATGCATTCCACAATGAGTGCCTAGAGAGCAGGCACTGTGGCTTATTCATTTTTGTATTTGCTCATGGCATCTGGCAGTGTGCCTGGCAAACAGCAGGCCCTCAATAATTCCTTACTTGATGAATGAATGAACTTTACAGACTTAGGAAACCCAAGTGTTCCTATCGCAGCGGCTGGCACAATCCTCTGTACTTGGTGAAAGTGGGACTCCCAAGGCTTCCCAGGGAGGCCCATTTATCAACTCTTCACAGTTACAAAGTGGGTTTCAGTCACTCTGGTTATTCCTACTGAAAAGGAGTAAAGCACGGGGAATGTTGGAGCTTGCTCAAAGCAAGCGCTGGGACCACCCTGTCTCACTCTATTCTTCCTCCTCTCTGTTAAGAGAGTGAGAGTAACTATAGGCAGAAGCCTGTGCTCCCCTACATGTGGGGGAACAAACTCTCAAGAAAGTGTTTATGCAGAGAAATAGGACTACAGTCCCACAGTTCTGTCGTATCCGTAGAGAAGTCTATGGAGTAAGACCAATGTGTCCAAACTAACCTCATCAGGCAAGAAGGGCTGTGTGAGGCTCACGCTTCTCTACACAGTGGTCAGAACTCACCGACAGGAGTCTCCAGGTCACAGGTCGGACCTCCCTGGGAACCCCTGGCCAGCTACACTTTCTCAGTTCATCTGTAAACAGAAAGCAGCCTCATTGGATTAGCTATCCTTGCAAATGCCCTAAGACAAACCACAGCCAGCACTGCCTAATGCCCTCTATCATTCAAGGAAGACCACTATCACCACCACCTGCTCCCCAGAAGCACAGGGAAGAGCCCAAAACAACAGCCCTGAGCAGCAAGGGGCCAAAAACATGGCCCGGCAGCAGTGATCCCATAGCTCAGAGGTGAGAGGTAGCCAGAGCTGAAAGACCCATGGGTGTGGATTTCCATAAGAATCACCTTGAGGTAGGAAGACCAAAGCCAGAACAGCTGCACTAGGGCCTACAGGCCACAGAAACCAGGCCCAGCTCATTTCGTCCCTAATCTCTAGTAATATACGCCTGACTTAATACCTGCATGTCACTGCAATAGACGCCAGATCAAGAGAAGTTAGAAAAGTAAAAGAAGGAAGAATAAAATGCAGTAGCTTCCAGGTCTCTGGAAATTTCAGTCACCTTACTTGAGGCTCACAAGGACTCACCTAAGTCAGTGTTGTGGCTGGAGAGAAGCTGCCGGAATTTTTCTAGGCGAGTTTTCTCCCGGACAGTCATTGGGGGGGCCCCAGAAGCATTCTGGTCCGAGATCCGGGCAACGAGAGGGATGATGGGTCGGAGAGGGAGTGACTGCTGTTTGTGGAGTGGGTTCCTCAGGCAGGTATCACCTGAGAGCATTGAAAAGAGAAAGAGAATGGGCTGTACGGGGAGCACGGATCCTGAGAAACCCTAAACCTAACTGTCAGCATTGTGTCTCCTCCTCCAGGGCCACAGCACGTGTGTGTACACTGCCTGAGGCCCAGCTGGCAGTAAGCAAGGGGGCCAGAACCAACCTACCGTGCTTCACTCACTGCCCACAGGAAGGGCTGCATAATATCACACAGACCAAGGCACTTACGTGCCAACAGAGACTTTAGATGTTACAAGAACTTTTGAGAATTCTTCTGGTCACTGCAGAGAAAAATCAAATGTAGCCAAAGGTCATAGTTTCCTTCCCTGTCGATATCACAGAGCACATAAATGATGACAGTGCAAAGCACGTTGCAATACAAGGAGGTACTGCTCTCCACAAGCTCCGGGTCCCACCTGGCTGCCCCAAGGACTAAAAGGATCAATATCCCTAGCATAACTCTAACCTGTTCGTAGCCCACCAGTGTGCCCGCACACCTAATGAGAAGCTCTGGCCTAAGGCAACCCTGAGTCAGGTGCCTGCAGTTCCTTTGTAATTCTACATTTCCCACCAAAATGAACCCATTTTTTATTTTGCCAGGATATGGCTGAAATAACAGGAACAAAGACTCAAGCTGAATTCTGTCTGGTTCTAGAAATTTCTAAACCAAATGGTGGGTAGAAAGAATAAGCAGTATAGGAGTCACATATATTGAGTGCCTACTATGTTTAAGGCACCATGTTGGTCATTTTAAAAATATACTCTCTCATTTGATCCTTGCAACATATAGTAGGAATGTATAGTTATCTTACAGATGAGAAACTGTAGTTCAGGGAGGTTAAGTAATCTGCAAGTGAGAGCGGAGATATTGCATTAGGTATCTCTGACTCTAAAACCTTTTTATTGCAACAAAAAAAAAACCAAACTCAGTTTCTAATTCCCTCTGTCTTTACTTTTATTTATTTATTTATTTTTAAGTTGGAGTCTCACTCTATCACCCAGGCAGGAGTGCAGTAGCATAGTCATGGACACTGCAGCCTTGAACTCAACCTGCTGGGCTCAGGTGATCCTTCCACTCAGCCTTCCAAGTAGCTGGAACTACAGGCATGTGCCACCATGCCTGGCTTATTTTTGGATTTATTGTAGAGATGAGGTCTTGCCAAGTTGCTCAGGCTGGTCTGGAACCTGTGGGCTCAGGCAGTCCTCTCACCTTGGCCTCCCAAGGTGCTTGGATTACAGGCGTGAGCCACTACACCCGGTCAAGACCTGTAATTTTATATCAATTAACATTCCCTAGAGACAGCTGAAAGCATGGAGGCGGTAAGGTTCGGTGGTAATCACTTGAGGATTTTAAAAATTACTAGCTGGGCACGGTCTGGGTCCAGGGTCAGACGTTCTTCAACTTCCTTTCCATCCTTTACCAGTCAGCCATTTTAACCCTCACTTGCATGGTGGCACTTCCCTCTCCAGGTCAGAATACCATACTTCCATAAACCCATTACGGTAACCTTACGCACAACAATGGATACTTAAAGAGTATACTGAGAGTTCCCAAATGTCTTATAAAACCACCATTCACCCTAGTCAGTTATTGAGGCTAGTTTCCCAAAAAGATACAGATTGCCCTCTCCCTTCATCTCGCCCAACCTGATGGCACACCTGATGGTCAGGGAGTTATGACCTGGTACCTTCAGGAACGTGTGGCTTCCTCCCTCAGGAACAAGAAAAAGGCAATCTTATGTTAGTGGCTATTTCCCAGGACTGAGGAAGTCAAACAACGGTGTCAAACACTTGTGAAATTCAGCCATTAAAAACTTTAAATACATTTGTCAATATTCATAAATCTGACCAGTTCTAAAGCAACGTGCAACAATTAAACCACAAAAGTTTTGTACCCCACCACAGGGAAAGGAAGAAGAGGAGTATGGCAGGCGTCATATGGGTATCAGGAAGTCAAGGCCCAGGTCACAGGGTCAAACAGCCACCAAGGTGGGAGGGGCATGCACAGCTTGTGACCAGTCAGGCTCACTGACATCTATCTCAGGTTTGAGCTTGTCTATTTATCATCTAATGACAGATCTGAGTGATGCCCTAAAGAAAAATCGTTTTTATTTAAAACGCACTGAGGAGATGGCCAAGGCTACGGAGGAGGCAGATGGACTTACTAGAGTTTCTGGATAGCTGGGCGTCACTGCTGGACTTGATGACCTTGTAGCTGGCAGGAACATCGGATGTTGTTGACTGGGACCGTTCTGGTTTTACCCTCAGCTTGCTGTGATTTTCTAGAACTTGGGCTGCAGTTGCCAAAGCAACTTTTGAGTTCAGAGTTTGGAAAGAAGGTGAGGAAAAGTCCTCTTCCTCATCATCGCCAATGTCCCAAGCATCACTGGTATTCCGGGCAAACTCATGAAAACTGGAGGCCTTCTTATTCTTCAGAGGAACTGTGTTGACTTTTGACCGTTCTTTAATGAAGCTTCAAGAAAGGAGAAACCATTATCAAGGAGTAGTCTGACACGTCTGATCACCTTCATTTGCTTAATATTATAATATTAATAATACTAAAAACTACCACTAACATCTTTGAACAAAAACTGCCCACATCCAATCCTCATCTAGATGCATTCAGACCAGCCCTATGTAGGAGAGAACAGATGTAGCAGGGGCAGCAATGATCACCAAATATCCCATGTGTTCTGTATATTCCCAGCCCTCTTGCACTTAGGCAAAGCCATATGACTAGTTCTGGCTAATGGCCTGAGAAGAGAAGTAATCACTTCCAGGCCAAAGTATAAAAGAACAGAGGTGGGTTCTCTACAACCTCTCTTCTATCATGGTGACTGACAAGGTTCCAGAGGGTGACCTCCATCAGCCTGGGTAACTGAGTGATGATGTAGAACAGAGTCTGCCCTCCACCTTTATTTACCCCACTCCATTGTGAACATGTAGCGTCAGCAAGAAATCAACCTTTACTGTGTTAATCCACTGAGATTTCAGAGTTAATTTTCTATGGCAACAAAACCTAAGCTATCCCTTAGAGTAGGATACAAACTGCTGACTGAACAGGAGATAATTTAGGTAGTCCACATATGTGGCATTAAACACTAAGTTCTGAAATGAAAAAGTCGTTCCCTTTTTTGTTCTGTTAAAGTTCTTCTAGCCTTGAGGAAAAGGACTAAGTTTGACACTACTCTGTCTTTAAGACTTTATTTTTTAACACAGTGCCTTAGGATCAGCATATTTGCTAGCAACAGGATTTGGCTTGGAATTTAGTAAGACTGTTTTGTTTTTCATTGTGTATTTTTAAGGTTACTTTTTATTATAGCAAATGTTATTAGTTTTCCATTTATAAAAGTGGTAAGGTTTATTTTAAAAAACAAATCTGAGTAAATAAAAGGAGTATTTTTAAAACTGCATTTAGTAAATATTAGTACAAAATACGGTAAAAAAAATTATAAAGATAGTACATGACTGAAATTTGGGCAACACTAAATTAACCCATTGAGAAAAAGGGGCCTAGTCCTAAGAGTCAATTAGACCACTCAACTTTCCTAAACTTCTTCTGTTTATGTCCAAAGCCCTACTCCCCTGGAAGTCCGGCAGCCTTTATTCTGGTTCTAGGGGCTATCTGGTTAGGAGGTTTCTAATTCAGTCTTATCTAGTTCCCCAAACAGGGAAGCAGAGAGTACAAACTTGTGTTAGTAAAAGTCACGGGAACTGGGGTGCAAGAGGGTGAAAACATCATTAAAATGCCTCAGATTTCCCAGCAAGGCAGGGCAAACCTAGAGTGAAACACAGCTCTGCCAGAAGAGCAGACGTTCCCCCCACTTCCAAGAGATATTTTTTCCCTTTGGGTAGAAGTTGGTGGTCTGCTGATCTGGCCCATCTCCTTGGATGAGTCCGATACTTATTTTATTTTATTTTATTTTGAGTTGAGGTCTCACTCCTTTGCCCAGGCTGGAGTTCAGTGGCATGTATGCTCACCGCCACCCCAGCCTTGAACGGATGGGCTCTGGAGATCCTCCGGAGATCCTTCCGCCTCAGTCTTCCAAGTAGCCAGAACTATAGGCACGTGCTACCATACCTGGCTATTTTTTATTTTATTGTAGAGACAAGGTCTCGCCAAGTTGCCCAGGCTGGTCTTGAACCTGTGGGCTCAACCTACTCGCCTTGGCCTCCCAAAGTGCTGGGATTACAGGCTGAGGCACTGAGCCCAGCCCCAATACTTATTTTTAAAGATAGTTTAAATTATTAATATTGATAAATATAGTCTAATAACTTATACGGCTCATTCAGAAGCTCAGCCTGTAATCCCGCGCCTTGGGAGGCTGAGGTGAGTGGATTGCCTGAGCCCGCGGGTTCAAGAACCGCCTGGGCAACTTGGCGAGACCTCATCTCTACAATAAATCAAAAATCAGCCGGGCATGGTAGCACACACATGTAATTCTGGCTACTTGGAAGGCTGAGGCGGAAGGATCACCGGAGTCCAGCAGTTGAGGTTGCGGTGGCCAGGAGCAGCCACTGCACTCCAGTCTGGGCAACAGAGTGAGACTCCAACTCAAAAAAAGAAAAGGTGGTAAGATATCACTGAGGTGTAATTTTCTTTTTCTTTTTCTTTTTTTGAGTCAGTCTCACTGCCATCCAGGCTGAAGTGCAGTGGCACGCTCACAGCTACCACAACCTCAACCTGCAGGGCTCAGGCGATCCTTCCACCTCAGCCTTTCAAGTAGCTGGAACCAGAGGCATGCGCCACTGTGCCCAATTAATTTTTAAATTTATTTTAGAGATGAGGTCTTACCAGGTTGCCTGGTCTGGTCTTAAATCCCTGGCTCAGGCAATCCTCTAGCCTCCACCTCCCAAAGTGCTGGGATTATAGGCATGAGCCACTGCACCCAGCCAGAGGTATTATTTTCAAACACTAGTCTCACATAGAGCAAAAGAAAAATCCATCATACAAAATATAAAATACAAGATTTACAAGGGTGTGACAACACAAATGTGATAAAACCAAGATCCCATTTTTCACTTATTAAATTAGCAAAGATTTAAAGATGTATTCTGTTCAGTGCTGACCAGGGTATGACGAGACCAGCTCTCTAATACTGCAGAAGAGGTTGTATGTCATATAATCCTCTGGAAAACAATCTGGCAACACATACAGCCCAACCCTTAAAACGGTTCATAATCTCTGCCCATAAGAAGTAATCAGAAATACAGACAGAGATGGCCTAAACAGTTTATACCAGTGTTACCTATTTTGGTTAAAAATTACAAACAACATAATCTAGAAATGGTTAAATAAATTATGGTTTGGCTCCCAGATGAAATGTTACACTGCCATTAGAAATCATATCTTATCAGCTGGGCGTGGTAGCGCATGCCTGTAATTCTGGCTACTTGGAAGGCTGAGGCGGAAGGATTGCCAGAGCCCAGCAGGTCGAGGCTGCGGTAGCCAGGAGCGGCCACTGCACTCCAGTCTGGGCAACAGAGTGAGACTCCAACTCCAAAAAAAAAAAAAAAAGAAATCATATCTTCAATGCTATTTAACAACATTAGGAAATGATCTCAATAAAGTGGAAATAGGGCCCCAAATTATACATTTCTTCTGACCTCTGTATTTTAAAAGAAAGCAAATGCATAGAAAAGACCAGAAAGAAAACACATCAGAATGTTAATAGTACTTATCTTTAGGCTATGGAATTACATGTGATATATTTAATTTCATTTTTATGCTTCTCTAAATTAGACACATTTTCTTTTCTTTTCCGTCGTTCAGGTGATCCTTCTACCTCAGCCTTCCAAGCAGCTGGAACTACAGGTGCACGCCACCACACCTGGCTAATTTTTTAATTTATCACAGAGATGAGGTCTCACCAAATTGCCCAGGCTGGTCTAGAACCCCTAAGCTCAGGCAATCTTGTCACCTCTGTTTCCCAAAGTGCTGGGATTACAAGCATGAGTCACATTTTCTATAATGAACATATTCTTTTTATGAATCAGGGGAATAAGTTGTTTTGTTGGCTTTCATCAATCCCCAAACTAAGAAAGCTCATAAGCCTATGAAATAACAATAGGAAACACACAAGTGTCCAAATCAAAGAAAATAAAACAGGCAACGCAGCACAAATATCTACATATATAGAAATCCACCTGTTAGTCAAAAGGCAAATTACTCAAAAGGTAGAGGCTGCATGTTCTGGACTCATCCACCATGGTTGCTCCTTCTTTGTCAAAGGGGACCCAGGACCCATCACCAGCAGCACCACCTTGGGGTACTTGGGTGGAGAACACACAGGCAGTTGTGTAAGAAAGATCTGTCATCTACAAAATATGCAGAGGAGTCTGTGGTTATTATCAATTTCCTCCAGAGTCTAAATGTACATCAAGATTGCATAAATACGGGAAGTTCTGAGAATTCTTTAAAGAAATCCTCAAATCAAGAAAGTAAATTTTATCTCAGGTCCAAGAGCTGGCAAGGCGCTGATGGCTTAACACAGTGCTGAAGCACACATACACTCCAGATTAGATGAACACACCACAGCAGGAGAGGGTTGTGCTGCTGTCTGGCTCTAACAGATGCCGACTTCCTACGGAAATGAAGGAGGCAAATCAGCTGAGTGGTGGGTACCTGGGTGTTTGCTATGGTTTTTTTTAGAGCTTTTTATGCATTTGAAGGTTTTCATTATATTTTCAAAGTACATGATGATTCAATACACTTGAAGTAGATTAAGAATTGGAATTTACTCAAATGAAGACTTACAAAAAAAAAATGAAAGGACATATTCCAACACAATGAAGAGAAAAGAAGGGAGGAAAGGCTGTCATTCTCTGTAACAGAAAGACATGAGTCAAGACAGACCATTTTGGAGCTGCCAGAAATTACTTTAGGGATACCTAGTTCACAAAATCCAAAACTCAACCAACCAATTTAAAAGTTAATTTTGCCTGAGCCCGCGGGTTCGAGACCAACGTGGGCAATTTGGCAAGACCTCATCTCTACAATAAATCAAAAAATTAGCCAGGCATAGTAGCGCATGCCTATACTTGAAAGGATGAGATGGAAGGATCTCCTGAGCCCAGCAGGTTGAGGTTGCGGTGGCCGGGAGCATGTCACTGCCTTTTAGCCTGGGTGACAGAGTGAGACTCCTACTCAAAAAATAAAATAAAATAAAAGTCAATTCTGTCCCGAGGAAAGAAGACTTCATGGAGGAAGGGCTTTTATTACCCAGAAAAGGGAGAAGTCTAAGGACAAAACAAGATGGGTGAGAACCACCCACAAGAATGAAAGAGGAAAACATGGAGTGAAAAGTTGCCACTCAGAGAAGGCAGAAAAATCTACAGATCAGGGACAAGGAGCAATGATGGGAAGATGTAAGGCTGTGAAGGTTTTCCATGTTAATTAATGTTGCTCTCTCCGGAGGAGATATATAAGTTCATATATATATACATAAAGAAGAATGAACATTTACTGGCTACTCACTAGGTACTAGGCCCTGTGCCAATTTTTATATAAACCCATGTTCTAAGGTAATGCTCATGAATATGCCTATCAGATAGATACTATTATTACTCCCTTTATAGATGAGCGTACTGAAGTTTACTGAGGTCAAGCACAGGCAGTGAAATCTAGACTCAAATCCAGGTCTACCTGACTTCTGAGTCAGCATGTGCTAAACACCTGTAAAAACTAGTTTAAAAGGTGAGGGTCAAGGCCTAGAAGGATCTGCATCCTGGAAAGAGGAGTTGCCAAGTAAACTGTGCAGCGCAGCTACAATTTTTCCCGAGTATACACAGCCGACAGCCCAACTCTCTCGCCTTGCAGGAAGAACTTCCTGTCTACTCAGAACAGGCTATATCAGACTTAAGCGAAGAGGCTACACCTAGGGATGGGGTCCTTGGAAGAGAAATGTCTCCCTTCCCTGTTGACCCTGGTAGTTACAGCAAAAAGTTAATCCAGGGAGTTCCAGCTGGGGGTGCCTTCAGTTTACAGTCCCAATAAATTTATACCTTACTCAAGGTACAAGAATGCCACAGTGTAGCTTGAAGTTTAATCAAGATTATTTAAACATAACTGCAACAAAGTTATAACCAAACTGGCCTCTACTGGAAACTTTTCCCATACCTCCTTGCAACTGCATGCCAAATTAGTCTGGAAAGCACCACATGCAATCACCACAACAACTCTGTGAAGTGAGTCTTACTATCTCTGTTTTATGGATAAGGAAACTATGGCTCTGAGATGTTAAGTAATTTGCCCAAGGTCATGGAGCTAGTAAATGGCAAAGAAAAAGGGATTTTAGAAGTGCAGGTGACACTAAAAACTCCCCAAAACATAACAAACAGCACATATGAGTAAGACTTGGTAAAAGGTCTGTTGATGAGTAGCTTGTTGAATGGTAGCACCCACACCTAAGGTTAGGTTGAAAAAGAGTGGCCACAGTTTTCACTGGTTAGGAACAAAAAAGATCGATCATTCTGTAATTTGATAATCGTACACTGTTTTACTGATATGGCATCCCACTTAAAATTTTTTAGAAAAATGATTGACACTGGTAAGTGACATTAAGCAAGTGGAAACATTTAGGAACTTTCAGACAAATCCAGTCATCTTAGTAACTAGTGTGGCTTCACGTGAACTAGCTTATAACTTGGAACTAGGATCTATCATACTTAGCATCAATTCAGAAAACAATAAATTTAGAAGCTTGTCATACCATCAAGTGGCCAATGGAGCCGCTCGGCAGTAAGACTAGTTTTATCTGAGCTATAAAAATTATTGCAGGCGATATTATCACTAATAGTAATAATTTGGCAAATTAAAGTCAATATTCACAGACAGGAAACAACTTACTGTGCTCATGCAGTTTAGATGATTGAAGACCCAATGTCAAGGCTTCTGCTGTGATGCACACAGTAATTAATAACGGTTTGAAGAGGACCGATAATCATGTAGTAGAGAAGGTCATAAAAATGTTCCAACAAAGGTAATAAAATAAGGGTGATAAATGTTTTATGGTAACAATCTGGAATTGTAAAATGGTCTGGTGCAGACCTAGATGTGGTCCTATGCTTTAGAGTATTAATATAAAATCACCACATACGTGAAAAAGAGAAGCAATTAATTCAGTGACAATGAAGTTCCTCCCAAATAACAAAGTTAGGCAATTACTTCTATTACAAATATGACTACAACTCTGCTGAATGATCAGTGAACATATTCAGTTTTACACCATTAACAGGTGAAAAACAAGAGTATAAAAAGTTTGCCTTGGCAATTTGGGATATAGTGATATTCCTGAAAGTCTGTCCTAAATAATGGCTGAGGTAAAGGTCAGTTGATGCCAGTTGCAGACAAGGTATGGTGACCCTCAAAACCAATGGGACAGTACACCCAGGGCCTTATGTATGGGTGGATGGATAGATTTATAGGTAGTCACATGTTTTTCAAAGGCTGGAAAGTATGCTGGAATGTGTCTATTACCAATCAATACTCCTAGCTGTGACCAGAATGTTTGTGGCTACAAGTAACATAATGATGTTTACAGAGTGAAGACTGTGATGTCAGGACTCTGGACATCTCTGCAATTCTCTTGGCCTTTCCCTCAGAGTTATGAGTTAGTTGCCACAGCTTTCAGCATCTTACTTTCACACTACCACATTCAAAAGCAGAAAACAGGTGAGTGGCAGCAAAAAGAGGTTTTCTTCACAGAATGATCTCTACTGATCAAAAAAGAAAATCTTTCCAAGAACTCTCTCTCAGTAGATTTTCTTTTATAGACCAGAACCAATGAGATGAGCCCATCCTAGACCAGTCACTGGGATTACCAAAGAACTATCATAAAAGGCTTAAACCAATCCTAACACCTGCTCTATGTACATTGTTGCTTACTCACTATCTGAATAAAACTATGGTTCTTGAGACCAGGTGTGGTGACTCATACCTATAATTCCAGTACTTTGGGAGGTTGAGGCAGGAAAATTGTTTGAACCCAGGAGTTCAAGACCAGTCTACGCAACACAGAGGGACCTTGTCTCTACAAAAGTTAAAGAATTCACCAGGAGTGGTGGCATGCATCTGTAGTCCCAGCTACTAGAAAGGCTGAGGTGGAAGGATCACCTGAGCCCAGGTGTTGGAGGCTGTGGTGAGCCATGATCATGCCACCGCACTCCAGTCTGGGAGTCAGTGACAATCTGACTCAAAAAAACAAAAATAAAATTATGATTTTTGAGCATGGAAGTAGCAGGGACAGGGAAGACTATTGGGTAGGTAATCAACAGTGTCTGCACAGTGTTGGTCCATACTGGCCAACAGACCAGAAAGTCTATTCTTGATAAAAACCAAAGGAATTGTAGAATTCATTCTATTAAATGGAAAGACCACACCAATATCACAGAAAACATGCTCCTCCTAAGAAGAGCTAATAAAAGGTACAAACCAAGAAATATTAAAGAAAAGTCTACAGGCCAGGCGTGGTGGCTCAAGTCTGTAATTCCAGCACTTTGGGAGGTCAAGGTAAAAGGACTGCCTGAGCCCATAGGTTTGAAACCAGCCTGGGCAACTTGGTGAGACTTCATCTTTACAAGAAATCAAAAAATTAGCCAGGTGTGGTGGCACGCGCCTGTAGTTCCAGCTACTTGGAAGGTTAAGATGGAAGGATTGCCTGAGCCCAGCAGATCGAAGCTGTGGTGGCTATGAGTGTGCCACTGCACTCTAGCCTAGGCAACAGAGTGAGACTCCAACTCAAAAAAATGAAAAGGAAAGAAAAGTCTGTTGTTTAAATACATGAGATAGCTTCATCCCTTCATTCCATAAATACTCAGTGCCTACTATGTGTCACATGCTGTTCTAGGTGCCAAAGGCATAGTGGTGAATAAAACAAAGTTCCTCCCCTCCAGGAGCTTATACTACAGTGGTTTCTCATATAAAAAGTGTGCATCTTACAAGAATAGCAATCATGCTTCTATAGTAATGCTTCTGAAGATTGTGCCGTCTACATATTTGCTAAACCACAAAAAGAACAAGCTGGTAGAATTATAGGAAGTGTGTTACATATTCAGCTAAGTTCAAAACATTTTTCAAATACTGATGATGCATATTTGACATAACATTTTTCTAGGTGTTCAAAATACTTTAATACACATTCTCTTTTTTCCCCTTTAATTTAAACACTATTTATTTGTTTAGAGCAGTTTTAGGTTCACAGCAAAATCAAGAGGAAGGTAAAGAGATTTCCTATATACTCCTTTCCCCCACGTAAGTGTTATCTCCCTCATTATCAATATCCCCCACCACAGTAGTAAGTTTGTTCTGATAGATGAGCCTATATAGACACATTGTAATCACCCAAAGTCAGTAGTTAAAGTTAAGGCTCACTCTTGGTGTTGTATGTTCTATAGGTTCGGACAAGTATATAATACATGAATCCACCAAAACAGTATGAATCCACCAAAACAGAGTTCTTTCACTGCCCTAAAAATCCTCTGTGCTCTGCCTGTTCATTCCTCCCCTCAATCTCACACCTTGCCAACCACTGATCTTTTTATCGTCTCTATAGTTTTGCCTTTTCCAGAATATCATACAGTTGGAATCATAATTGCACATTATCTTTACTTCTCCACAACTGTGAAGGAAGAAACAATAGGTATTATTACAGAGGCCCCAGGAAGGTAAGAACCTGGGTCTGTCCCTCCTAAACCATCCAGTTTTCATTACAAACTACAACTTTCCTAGAAACAAGTCTCTAAAATTAAGCATGCCCAAAGATAGAGGCCAAAGTTCTTAGAAAATCTGAGAAGATCACCTACCTCCTCATTTAAATTCATTGGGCTCAAGGATGGTCCATGAGCAAAAGGCGTGATAAAGTAGTAATTGGGTGTACACATACATACTCATACATCTTGAATTTGACTAGAGTCTCTGTTATGTTTGAAAATAATTTATTAGAGTTTTACTAGAGAAACAGCCTCCAGGGAGCTTTTTAATCCTACTGTATGCATGCCCGGATCTCCTTGAGTGTGTCAAAGAGAAAGAGGCCCTGAAGAATGCCAGCCTACAATTATATTCTATTTGCCCTAGTAGTCATAGTATAGATGAGGAAAAGGTGGCAAACCTATTCATATTCAAAAAATTTGGAGGGTCATCAACCAACCACCAACCAGTTTCAGGAGCAATACTTAATCAATGAAGACTTTTTGACCATTCTCTTTTGACCAGAGAATCCAACACCAAACCCTACATATACCAGTTCCCAATGTAGGAAAATACAATCTCTAATGTGAGTTCATTCCCATTTTGTAATAGAACTTTAGGAAGTAAGAAGATTGCTCATCTCCTGGTCCAAAATAGGGCAGAAGAGAAGCTAGAAAAGGTCAACATGGAACCTGTCATTTCACAAAATAGGGAAGGCTATGGAGGTGATGGAAGAAGTAGATGCATAAAAGGAAAAATGTCTTGACTTACTTTTTGGTGAGCCGAGGATCCAGAGGAGGATGCTGTGCTCCATACACAGGCTGGATGCTAAAAGCAAGGAAAAAAAGTAGCAGCAAGTTGTTAATTCAGTAAGGAAACTAAATAGGTTGGCTGAATACTATCTGCATCACAAAATTGGAAGGGACTTTGAAAAATTGGTTACCTTCAAGAATAACTATACCCAAGCCATCCCCAAGAGAAAGCAATCTACTTTTTTTAAAAAACACACATCTTTGACAATGTTCATTTTCTCCAGTGAAGTTTCAATACCTTACATACCTGTCAGGAAGTCCTATGTGTAAAGAAGGCAGTGTGGAAAGGTAACAGGCATCAGAGTTGGAGAGAGCAGAGTTCTGGCATCCAATACCACTATGAACTTGCACCCACTTCTTTGACTACTTTAAATCTGTTTTCTCGTCTAAAATGGGAATATCGCCTACCTTAAAGGCTCAATGCTAAAAGACAGTGAAGCAACACTACATATCAAGGGAAGAGTGACATAACGAACTCTCATACACTGCAAGAGGTGTCTAACCACTTCAAAAAACAGTTCGGCATTATCTAGGAAGAATGAAATAGCATATCCTAGGATCCAGTCATTTCACTCCCAAATATATAGCTTAAGAAAAATAGGTATATATGCGTATTAGAAGACATACATGAAACTATTAGGCCAGGCTCGGTGGCTCAGCCTGTAATCCCAGCACTTTGGGAGGCCGAAGCAAGTGGTTTGCCTGAGCCCACAGGTTTGAGACCCGCCGGGCAACTTGGCAAGACCTTGTCTCTACAATAAATCAAAGATTAGCTGGGTGTGGTAGCATGTGCCTGTAGTTCCACTACTTGGAAGGCTGAGGTGGAAAGATCAACAGAGCCCAGCAGGTGGACGCTGAAGTGGCTGTGAGCGTGCACTCCAGTCTGAGCGATGGAGACTCCAACTCAAAAAAAAAAGAAGACATACATCAAACTATTTGAAGAACCATGTCCTCTTGGCCCCAAACTAGAAAATGTCCATCAACAATGAAGAGAAATAAACTGCAGTATATGCATATAATAGAATAGGATACCACACACTGATGACAACAGATGAAGCAGGGCTGTGAGTAACAATGTGAATGGATCTTAAAAATGTTATGCTGGGCCGGGTGCAGTGGCTCAAACTTGTAATCCCAGCACTTTGGGAGGCCAAGGTAAGGGGATTGCCTGAGTCCAAGGCTCGAGAACAGCCTGGGTGACTTGGCAAGACCACATCTGTACAATAAATCAAAAACTTAGCCGGGCATGGTAGCGTGCACCTGTAGTTCCAGCTACTTGGAAGGCTGAGGTAGAAGGATCACCTGAGCCCAGAAGGTCGATGCTGGGGTGGCCATGAGCGTGCCACTGCACTGCAGCCTAGACGATGGAGTGAGACTCCAACTCAAAAGTAAAAAATTTAAAAATGTTATGCTGAACAAAAGAAAAAAGTATAAAAGAATAAATACTGTATGATTCTATTTATACACACTTCAAAAACTGGCAAAAATAATTTCTGTTGTTTAGGGATGCATGCAGAGTTGTAACATCATAAAGAAAGCAAGGAGTGATTAACATAAAAAGACATCGTTCTCTCTGAGAGAAAGGAAGGAGGGGACAGGGAATAGACACAGAAGTTTCTGGGGTGTTCACTTTGTGATTATTCATCAAGCCATCATACCACACATTTGTGTTCACATACTTTTTTGTGATATATCACAATTAAAAGAAAAAAAGGCCAGGTGTGGGGCCTCATATCTATAATTCCAGCACTGTGGGAGGACTGCTTGAGTGCAGGAGTTCAAGACCGCTTAAGCAACATAACAAAACCCACTCTCTACAAAAAATTTTTAAAAATTAAGCCGGGCTCGGTGGCTCAGCCTGTAATCCAGCGCCTTTGGGAAGCTGAGGTGAGTGGA